AAAGTTTTTTTTTTTGGAAGAGTGCATGTGATCAGCACAGGGCCAATCAGCACTGTCCAGACAGAGGGTCAAGACTCCTTTAACCAGTGCTCTGCTGGACACTGATAGAAGTCAACAGATTGCTATATACTGCTGATGAGAACAGGTATTAGCAGTTTATATTTACTAAAATGTTTTCATTTCCAATGCTATGTGTACTGTGGGAAACCTGATATAGTGAATGCAGAGTCCTGGGTTTAGTAACACTTTAACATGAATATAGGATGCATTGATGATATAAAATGCACCACACTCTGTGATTGCGTTTATTGCATATACTGAATAGAACTTCTACCCATTTTGATGATACAACACATGTTGTAACCTATAGACTCCTGTGACTGAGTGTTGGATAACCTAGAGGGTATTCTCAGTTTGCTGTCCTTATTTATCTCCCCACAGTGGCCTTAGGGTCCGTGACCATCTCCTCAGCTAAATGTTGCTTGTAAGGTATTGAAATTACATGTAACAAGGCATCTGTCATTTGAAAATGTGAAGTCCTGAAGAAGCGGAAACGACCACGAAACGAGTTGATTTTCTGGATAGATGACAATTACCATTTGCTACTTCTATACCTAAAAAATATCTATAGATGGTGATATCATTTTGGATCTGTAAATTATGACTCTTTGTTATAAAAATATACATGATAATTTGTAAACGTAATGCACTTGCACCCTCTAGTACACTATATAAGTACCAATCCAAAATGGTTATTATAACCAAAACAAAATAGTACATAAATTATAAACAAATCAAAAGGTTCAAGCTGATTTCTGTTTAAGACCTGATTGTAGGAAGGCCAGAATGCTAAATAAAAAGTACTCTCTGGGACTGAGATGTCTGTGTTCACCCCAGAAAAAAAAAAAAAAAAAAGAAGAGGACTTCCAGGTGGAATATTATATCTTTTTTTTTTTTTTTTTTTTTTTTTTAGCAAGGTAGGAATCACAGCCTCAGAAACCCCCTTATCGTTTAACATCTGGGTTTTTACAGCCATGCCATTACAGCCACAGACTGAAAGTGGATGAACCTGAGGGCCCTGAGACAGCAGATCCTGTCTGTTGGGAAGAAGCCAGGGGTCATCTGCTTGAACTTCGATGACGTTTGTGCACCAGATTCTTCTGGGCCAGTTTGGTACAGTTAGAATCATAGTTCTTCTGCTCTATTTTCTTGAGAAAAGGGAAGTAGGATTCAAATTGCTGGGAAGGCATAAATTAGGCTGAACCGAGACCAGGGAATTATCAAGGCATCTGAGGCTAGAGCTAGAGGATCCCTGGTTCTGGCAACAGACAGTTTGTTGTGAAATTTGTCCACATCAGGAATCCCCCAGTTTTAGCATATCAAATTGAAGATGAATGGATGAAGGACCTATTCCTTGATTCAGGCAATGGTAGCTGAGATAATCCGCATTCCAGTTATCACCTAGGATGCTGACCTTAGGAATCACTCGGACAGTTAGGGGTTTACTAAAACTGGAGAGTGCAAAAATCTGATGCAGCTGGGCATAGAAATCAATCAGCTTCCAGGTTTTTTCAAAGCTTAATTGAACAAGCTGAAATTAGAAGCAGATTGGCTACCATGCATAGCTGCATCAGATTTTGCACTCAACTTTTAGTAGATAACTCCCTTAGTTTCTGTACTAAGAGATGATCTGTTTAATTTCCTACAACACAGGCAGACTCCTGATGCCCCTTGATGGTTGCTGTAGGCAACCATCATAGCATTGTCTAACTACACCATGGTTGGGTGCCCCTTCAGGAGGGAGGTTCAGTGTGGCAGGGCTTGATTTCTCTCAAAGACCATGTTCCTTTGACTTTTAGGGATTGGAACATTTCTCTCCAGCCTGAGAGACTTGTGCCTGTTGTGATAACTTTCCAGTAATAGGGAAGAAATTAATTACCCACTGTTAGGGCTGGGGTGGTAATACACCACAAATGTTCCTTGGTTCCTTGCTTGGCTGGACAGGAACATTGGCAATTAAAGAGAAGGAGTCTGCTTGTTTCAGGCTGACAAAATATTCTGTTAAAAAAGAGTTCTTGAATGGGATTGGGTGAATGGTACGTCTCAGAGGCTACTGTTAGGCTTGTTACACTCATGAAGACTCAATGTGGGATGTTTCTTGGATTTCAGTTCTCAAGACTGTGCGCTTACAGAAAGAACTTTTTCTTGGGTTGTGTTAAGGACCGGACCAAAGTATTCCATGCAAAGGAAAAGCTGAAGACCAAATTTGTGGAAACGGATCAAGCTAAAAGCCTGAAGAATTTGAATTGTTACATAGTTGGTAAGGTGGAATAGACACCGGTCCATCCAGTTCAACAAGTGTTTGTGAATGTGTATGTGTCTCTCTCTGCTATTTTACAATTCCCTGTACATCGTGTTGGCTAAAAAACCCTGTTTTGAACTTATCTACACTTTCCACTGACACTACCAACTGTGAAAGCAAGCGAGTCCCACATCCTTACCACCCTAACAGTAATGAGCCCCTTACACAGTTTAAAAAAAAAAAAAAAAGACATGCAGCCACACAATGAAGTTGAACGAGAAGTGGTTCAATGTTAGACACCCAAGATTAAAAAAAAGTTTCCTCCCAATGCTACAATCACTATTCAAGGATTTGTATATTGCAATCATACCACCTTAAGTGCCTCTTCTCCACAGAGAATACATATTATGCTTGTAGTCATTCCTCACAACTGAGGCCTTCCAGTCCCATTATTAACCTTGTTACTCTTCTCTGGGTTCTAACCAGACCAGAAATAGATCACACTCATACTCTAGGAGTGGCCATTTCTGGACATTTTCTGTTAGCTGCAAGAGAGTGGAGTCCATCTAAAGGAGGTAATATAGATAGCCTTGATTTGGAATCCCTCAAATTATGAGGATAAGCAGAGGTGGAGACCTTTGTGAACACTTTGGGAGCAGAAGATAGGCCAAAAGGAAGTGTGACAAACTGGAAGTGGTTGTCTAATGCGAAGGGTAGAAACCACTGATGAGGTGGGTAAATGGGAACATTTAGATAGGCACATTGGATGTCCAGAGATGCCATGTACTCTCCTTGCCTCAGAGAGGCAATTACGGACCTTATGGTTTCCATGCAAAATTTTAGAATTTGAAGGAATTTGTTGAGGGATTTAAAATCCAGAATAGACCAAATATGGCTGCTGGGCTTTGGTACCATGAACAGGTTTGAGTAGAATCCTTTGAACCTGCCTGCCAAACAACTCCCTGGGACAAGAGGTGGTTCAGGACATTTTGTAAATCTTAACTGTCTTTGGCCAGTTTTTGGTTGATCTAAAGAAGAAAGCAGTGGAAAATCTGTGACCCAAAGAGAAGCAAACTGTAATAAACATCCCACCACTATTAGAAGTTAGGGCGCCCCTTTATTGTGAAAATCATTTTTGGGAAGGCTTGAAGGACCTGGTGGGCCAATCCTTGCACCAAAAGGATGGGGTGAGCTTAGGGTTTGAAGTTGAAGCCTGTTTACAAAGGACAGGTGCTCTGTGCTTTCAGGGGCAAGAGAAGGGGGTTTTGGTACCTTCTGATACAGAAGTAAAACATTCCCTCATGAGACCTCTTTGATAAATAGGTTGATGCATTACCGAAGAGGCATTTCTTAGGAAAGGCATACATGTGGGGCACCTTTTGCAAGCAGCTTCAGTTGTCCAAGCTTTAAGCCATAAGACTCTGCATATGTGAATGGAGATTAAACCTATTCTGCAAATTTGTCTCATGATGTGTTCTAGGGTAGGGTTAGGCAACCTTTGAGAGGAGGAGATCTATCTGAACAACATGAAAGATCAAAGGTTACCAGCGTTTTATATAGTAAAACAACCATCACTATAAGAATATAAACTTAGCCAACCTTAACAGTGGACAGTGTCAGTCAGTACAGCAGTGGACAGTGTCAGTAGGGCAGTAGACAATGTCAGTAGGGCAGCGGATGGTGCGTGGACAGTGTCAGTAGAGCTTTGAATGGTGTCATTCAGCTGCACAGAATGAATGAACAGAAAGAGCTCTGCACAGGGCTATTGATTCAAAAACTGAAGAATAGAAAGCACAGTTAACCAAACTTCAGCTATGAATTAACACAGTTAGTTACAGGTAAGAAAAGAAAGGGGATGGTAAATTACATTTACTGGCCCCTTTCCCCGATCTCCATTTTTGGCAATGAGCTTTTCAACATTAACAAGCATGCTTGAAGCTCCCTCTTCAATATAGTGAAGGAATGGGGAAGAAAACTCTTATGCAGCTTCCTCCAATATTTCCTTAATATTCTCTTTGTTTCCTTTTGTGTCTCTGTCTTCTAGGACTGGCATGTCAGAATTTAACTCCTATTGAGAAACTTGAGAAATAGGAGAAGAAGAGACAAGAAGCTTTGGGGGCCTGGATAGAAATAGCTGTACATAATGGCTGTACATAATCTCTCAAAGAAAATGTGACAGAGAGGCAGAGTGTGCTTTGGTCAAACAGACCACTTGTTGCATGCCTGAAATAGAACAGGATTCTGAGACTGGTGTTAGAGCTGGTACTTGCTCTGTTGCAAGAGACCCATCATGGTGAGCTTGAGTTTTGTGAGGTCCTTCAATAGAGCAAATATTCGCTGCAATTTTGCACTGGCTCCCTTTCATCTGGAGAAAAGGGTGCAGAGTAGAAGGAAAGTGTGTCTTTAAGAAAAAACACGCTAACCCTGGTGTAGACTCTACTGTCATGAATCCTTGTCGAGAAAGACAAAAGAAAGCACTTGAGTACCTTATAAGGGCTCTAGGTGGACGTGGTGTTAACCACCTCCCGCCCGCCATATAGTCCAATGACGGGCGCAAGGTGGTTCTCTCGTTCTGGGAGGACGTCACATATGACGTCCTCCCATTCTCACCGTGCATGCGCGACTCAGGGAGTGCGCAGCGCAGCGATTGGCGGTGCGCTGTGTCCCTCGGACACAGCGGATAACCAATCACGGAAAGAGCCAAAGATGACGGCTCAGTCATGTGATCAGCTGTGTCCAATCACAGCTGATCACATGTAAACAGGGAAATGCTGATTATCGGCATTTCTTTCCTCATGAGCTGTCACGCTGACAGCTCGAGAGGAGAGGAGAGCTGGTAATCGGCTTTCCGTGGAGGGGACATGTACACTGATCATCAGGGCACTGCTGATCAGTGTGCCCTGATGATCAGTGTAGCCCCAGCAGTGCCACCTGTCAGTTTCCATCAGTGCCTCGTGTTAGTGCTCATCAGTGCCTCGTGCCAGTGCCCATCAGTGCCACATCAATGCCACATATCAGTGCCTACCAGTGCACATCAATGCCACATATCAGTGCCCATCTGAACTGCCTTTCAGTGTCACCCATCAGTGCCACCTATCAATGCCAATCAGTGCCACCTATCAGTGCTGCCAATCAGTGCCACCTATCAGTGCCTGTCAGTGCCGCCTAACACTGCCTGTTAGTGCCGCCTAACAGTGCTACCTATCAGTGCTGCCTTTCAGTGCCCATCAGTGATGCCTGTCAATGCCCATCAGTGCCATCTACCAGTGCCTTCTCATCAGTGCAGCCTATCAGTGCCCACCACTGCAGCCTCATTAGCGCATATCAGTGAAGGAGAAAAATCACTTATTTACAAAATTTTATAACAAAACCTAAGAAAAAACATTTTTTTTATTAAATACCACCAAAAGAAAGCTCTGTCTGTCACAAAAAAATGATAAAAATTTCATATGGGTACAATGTTGTATGACCGCGCAATTTTCATTCAAAGTGCAACAACGCTGAAAGCTGGAAATTGGCCTGGGCAGGAAAGGGGTATAAGTGCCCTGTAGGCAAGCGGTTAAAGAATGCAAACAGTAGCGTGATCTAACATCTGGTCATCCACCTGAGATTGGGCTCTGAGTGGCTAAATTTAAGGTCTACGTTTGAAAAGGTTACACTGAAAAGTGAATACATTCTACACATACTGTAGCCCCGAAAAATATTCTGTCTTTATCCTGTACTGTACAATTAAGTTAAAGTTTTTTTTTTTTTAATAACAAAAAGGTGTTACTAGTTAACTCCCTATTAAATTTGTTGACCATACTCAGGCCTAATGAATTTCTTCTTCCCCTTAATTAATTTAGCCATGAATAATTAGACGTTTTTGTTCTCGATTCAGTTGTAAAAAAAAAAAAAAAAAAACACACACACACCACAAACACAACAACACACACACATACACGATTTGTGCTGGAATCAATATTTTTGTGTGATTTTAAACAGGACAATTTATTTTTTTAAACACTGCTAAGAGTTTTTTAAATTTTAAAACATGTTTTGTCTATAAACCTACATTAAAGTGCAGAACGTGACATACAGTAACCTGCTACCTAACGTGCTGACATACCGCAAAGAATTGCCCTAAAGTTGTTCTGCTTACCATGGGTTTTATTTTAGGCTCCAGTTACACTAGGGTTTTCAAATCGCAGGCGGAATTACGCCGATTTGAAAACTGTGAAAACTCGCGTTCGCACATTCAAGCGCCATTCATTTCAATGGCAACTGAAAAGGCGAGTTGTTTTTGGCGCAATTGGAACCTCACGGTTCCAGAAACTTTTTTATGGGTGTTGCATGTCCAGCGATTTTGTTTCCGCGTTTGATGCATGGAAAATCGCCCCGTGTTTTCATTTGCCATTGAAATGAAATGGCACCTGAATGCACAATAGAGCGTTTTTTACCTTTTCATAGCGCATTTCAAATCGCATGATTCCGCCTGCGATTTGAAACGCCCTAGTGTGAATGGAGCCTGAATCCTTCTGTGGGTATTCAAAAAGGATTATCCAATAGCCCATTACATGTTTACATAGTTAGTCTGGTTGAAAAATATCCAATTGCCTTTTGGGGGATCAGGAGGGAATTTGTTTTTTTTTTTGCCTTCCTCTGCATCAACTATAACTATAGGATTGTGAATATGGAGGTTTTAAACTGGGGGAATGATTGTTTGTTTGTTTCATTTTCTCTGTGGGTTGAACTGGATGGAACTGGCTTTTTTCCTGGATCAACTTCACCTATAAATATTAGTATCTAGTTTTATTTTGTGCATTTAGGAAATAATTCAGGCTTTTTTTATAATAATCTACTGAGCCGAGTACCCCCTTGTCCTCTGTAATGACTTTAAAGTGAATAACTAAACCCAGTTCACCATGTGGACCACTTATGTATTATACATGTTTGATCATATTCCCCCTTAACCACTTGGCAACCACCTGCCTGCTCTCAATGTACTGTAGGCAAGCAGCTGCTGTAGGAAAAGAGTCATAGCCATAGGTCACTGCCTACTTCTGGGTTTAAGATGTGCACATGCGCACCCCTGCCTGGAGTCTGCTGTAACTGTATACAGCAGGAGCCTGTTAGCAAGTCCCAGCCAATGATTCTATAAGTACAAGCAGATATAATAAATGACAAGAAAGCATCGATCCACCAAGGATTGCCCTTTGAAACAAACGTGAACAGTAAGATATGGGTGAAGCAACTCACTGATGAACCCCAAGTACTTCCCATTCACGTCCAAGATCCAGAGGAGTATGTAAGCTATGCAAGGTTTCTGGACAAATCTCTATCAACCTGCACAGGAGAGACCAGCCCACCTGTAACACAAAAACAATCCATTAGTGAAAAACCTTCAGTTTAATAGCCATATGTTTACATTCTAAATCATTACAGACAGAAAAACAATGAATAATTAGCTGTGCCCAAAGTGAAAGAAACTGGAAAATTTGTCTTTTATGAGCAAACACTTAGTCCTTAACTTAGCAAACATGACAAAAGTTGAGGTTTACAAAAGCACTTCTACGAGAAAATTGCTCAACAGACTAACCACTTCTAATACCGGTACTGATGGTAATATTTCAGGATCTCTAGCACTTAGCAATGAAGAGGTTTAAGAATAAGAGCAGTGGTTTTATTTTAACCACTTTCTGTCCACCAGATATTAAAAAAACAACATCCTGGATTCAAGTGGTTATAAAAAGCTCATGGTTGTAGCTACAGCCATGGGCGATCAGCCGCTCAGTAAAACTTTGGGTAGCTATACAACCACCCGATGACTTTTACTGTAGTGAGAAGGGCTGCACCTACCCCCAATTCCTACTGCCACAGTTCCCGGGCTCTACAGTTTCTCTGGGGAGCCCAGGACTGTGGTAAACGCCTGGGATGACAAGCTACAAGAACAGCCACTCCCTGATGTTCTCTGTAACTAATGAACCCAGAAGAGACTATGATTTCATCAGTTTAAGAGCTGATCTATGCTTAAATAGCTGCACTAGAGGGCAGGGGAGACATTGGGGGGGGTCTTAGAGCCCTGATGTCTCCATAAGGAATAAGGAATGTCATCATATAAGGGGTTTTTGTGAGAGTATTAACATTAATGAAATAAAATACTTAAAAAAAAAATATAAAAATTGTAAATAAAATTAAGAAGTGCTAAAACTGAATACAATGCACTTTCCATATCACTTTCTTCTGTGTTTACATGTACTTTAACTTTTGTTTAGACATGTTCATAGAATCTAATCTGCCCCTGGGTGCACAGATTTCTATTTTCTCTAAATGCAAGTAACATGAATGCATATATAGTAATTGCGCAGTGTAAATTATACCATTTAAAAAAAGGAGAAGTACAGCCAAAGTTCTGTTGGCTGTAATTCTCCTGTGGATCACAGGAGTGCAGTTCGTTTTTCACTCCTGTGACCAGTTTTCAGCTGACAGCAGGCTGAAGCCTGTTGTCGGCTGACATCACTCAGCCAGTCCAGATTGGGGAAAGATCCCAACTTGAAAGTCGGGATCCACCCCAGAGTTTGGAGCGACACCTGGCTCAGCTTCTCAGTGATCTGCTGAGAGCCTGAGCCTGCCGTTCCCTCCCCCTCTACAACCCAGCACTACAGTGAGCACGAGGAAGAGGTGGCACAGCAGCCAGCAGCGAATGACAGTCATCGCTCTCCGCTTAGAGAAGCTGTGATAACGCAGTGATCATGTGATCACGGAGTTATCACACTTCGAGCCGACGGGGGACAGATGCAGTATCGGACCGATGCTGCATCCAACTAAATAAGTATATATGGGGGGAAAAAAAAAGTCCATACTTGTCTTTTAAAATCATTACATTTGTACACATTTAGAAATGTCCTATAGACGCATATAAGCCCATGTATTGTAAGTGAGAAATAGAATTAAAGGGTTTGTAACCATACAGTAACCTGGCGCCCAGCTCTGTTTCCTTTGTAGGCAAGTGTGAATGGACTACAAGCACAGTGATCAGCTCATCTACTGTGGCATAAAGCAGGAACTTGTAGTTTTTTTCATTCACAGATCTCTGTGAATGAATAATGCTGGTCTGCAGGCAGAGCCCCACACAGCTGCCCCCATTTTAAAAGACAATTGCTGCAGGGCAGAGGAACCCCCACCCCCAAAAGCAACATACAGCATTGTCTATTTGTATAAGAAATAATACCTTTTGTACAGCAGAGACTTTCATATAGGACTCCAGTACAAGCAGCAGAGGTGAATGAACATTTATGCGACTTAATATTTCCGATGCTTGTCAAAAAAAAATTAAAACAGTTTAATAGTAAACAGTTTAAGATTCAGGAAAAAAGCAATGCAGCAATAAAATTATGGTTGATACTTACCACCTATACAAAAGGTGGAACTATGTAAATCTTCCAATATTTGGACAAGTGTGTCAATCTGTTTCCCCTCTTCCACATTTTTGAGTCTCACAACAAGCTTCTTAATAGTTTTCTTCAAGTTCTACCATACTGGTCATTGTTATTCTCCAGCTCCAATAAGATTCATAATTTAGAGTTTCTTCACATTATAAGAAAACTCCACTGAAAGAGGATCAACATAAACAACACTCTGGGGCACACTGAAGAGCAATCGTATTGCTAACTCTTTTTGAAAGCAAAAATTACATACGTACTAAACAGTGAAGCCAGTCTCGGTCACACCCAGCATACTCACATGAGCACATCGGTCACTGACACTTAGGTATGTATAAACAAAGATGATCTGAAACAAGAAGCAATAAGGAGAAACAGGTTTAAAATGAAAGTATGATTTTTACCACAATGTCATACAAAGTAAAAATGGGATTATTCTTAAGGTGTAAATAAAAAACTTTAACCTTAACATTTAAAGCTTCTCCTAACCACTCACCAATCATAGAATTTTAAAGCCAGGCGCTGTACAATTGCTGTATATGCTCAGCTTTTGCACTGTCATCTAGTGTTTTGAATACTTGCCTTATATTCGAATGTAGGGTGTATGCATGAGTAGACTATGTGCTCAAATTCAGCATGATTTAACATAGGATACCTCAGGTCCTATACTTCCTAAGACACTGGGGGCAAACACTGGAGCGAGGACTGTCAGGCAATAGTGGCACTTTCTGGCACTCTCAATAACTTACAAACATTTTGGCACACTATGATCAAAAAGTTGCCCACCCACGATCTCATCTGTAGCACTTCCAGAAAACAAGGAAGATAATGTAATAATAATGTGTAATATCCACTTGACCTCCGGAAGATTTTACCCCCTTCATGACCAGACCATTTTTTTGCGATTCGGCACTATGCTAATTTATCTGGCTATTGTGCAGTCATGCAACACACAAATTAAATTTATATTTTTTTTTTTTACACAAATAGAGCTTTCCTTTTGGTGGTATTTGAACACCACTGTTTTTTTTTTATTTTTTGTGACATACAAAAAAAAAAAAAAAAAAAAAAAAGAAAAAGAAGAAGGAGCGAACGGTATTTTCTACTTTCTGTTAAAAAAAATATCCAATACAATTACGGTAAGTTTCTTCATAAATTTAGGCCAATTTATGAAGAATTTGGTATTTCTTTGGTAAAAAAAAAAAAAAAAAACACCACACACACACACACACACACACACACACCACACCAGGGCACAAAAAAAAAAGCAATAAATTACCCTATTTTTTTGTAAAATATAAAAGATGAGGTTGCACCGAGTAAATAGATATCCAACATGTCAAACCTTAAATTTGCGTGCGCTCGTGAAATGTGGACAAACTTCAGTACCCTATATAGGTGACCCTTTTAAAGCTCCTTACAGGTCATCAGTATAGTGTTATGGAGGATATCATGCTAGAATGATTGCTCTCATTCTGGCATGCGTGGCAATATGCAACATATGTATCGCAATGAATATTTTCATACGTAGGTGCACGCTTTTACTTTTGTAAATGGTTATATGTGGGAGTGGGGGGCCTCAAATTTATTTATTTTTTTGAGGGGATGTAATGTGCTTGGGTGCAAATTTGATTTTTTTTTACCATTAAAAACATTTTAACTTAACTTTTTATTTTCATCACATAGGGGACAAAAGGTTTTCATTCATGACGGCTTACTTTCTGTTGACATATACTGTGATTGGCTACAGCTAAAAACATGGTACAGGGTGGTGTGAGTGGCCTAGGTACCATGTGATAGGTATTGGCCAATCACAGCAACACTACAGAGAGCACAAGTGTTATGAATGAAACTCATTCACAACAGTTGTGTACACATTGTGATCATGTGATCGCATAGCGGGAACCGTAATCCACTGTGCCTTGTGGACACAGCGGTTGCGGAAGCAGTTGCACCAGTGCGCACGTACCAGGCAACGTGTTTTTACAATGTTGAGGCTGGCCGTGCCGTCCATTCACAGTAAAAGTACTGTGGGCAGGCAGCTATTGGATATTTGGTAATAAACCCATTTGGATGTCAGCAGCTGCACAATAGTGACAAAAAAAAAGCTAGGCAATTGCCATACAAATGCATAGCATAAATTGTATTTAATGCTTTTAGCACAGCTCATGGGACAATATTTCCTAAAACATTGTACAGCTCTGTGAGATGGTAACTGGGTGGTGGACAGAAGATATGTTTCCAAGGACATTGCTGTATTAAATTACAATAGAAAATACACTGAAAATTAAAGTTTTACTTTGAACGCTTTGACCCTTAAAGTGAACTAATGGTCAGGCTATGGGCACAGAAATTATTTACATGTCCTAAACAGACACTTTCACCTTTCCTATTCATTGCAAAGCGACAGTGTGGGCTTTAGCCCACTCCAAATCACCTTATTTTCACTCTCCAGCGCTCACCCACTACTCCATTCTCACTTACATCCACCAAAATACCGTGTCGGCAAGTGTCACAGCTCAGAGGACAGGTGAAGTCACCCCCTTTTAATGTTACATCATGGAAGAAAGCCACATACTTTTTTGGCAGTAAACTTTGATAAATTACTCCAGAATTCATACAGCTACAAGTCTATAGCCTGGCTACCAATTTTCTCTTTCAATAATTTTTTATAAATAAGTTTAAGGAATACAATTTGTAACTTTTGCTACAGTGTAGAAAAACCAGAATGATTAGTATACCAAAGGGCACAGAACAGAGAAACAGTAAAGGAAAACGGAAACTGTGCGCCTGTATCGGGGAAGTAGACGCTGATGGTTTAGATGCATATGCATTGAGTTTACTATAGAAAAAAAAAAAAAAAAAAAAAACATAAGCAGAGACGATCCTTACAGAAGAGCCCAAGTAGATAGAAAGAGAAAAAAAATAGAGGGGTTGAGGGAAAGAGGAGAGTGGGAAAGGATGCCAGGTGCACCCCTGCAGGAACCCCAGGGTCTCAGTGCCTATAGCAGTGTATAGCTGGCCATAGGTATAGAATGGTGAACATACTGAATCCATGGGGTCCATATTTTTAGAAATCTGTGATGCATATCTAGAAGGATACCGGAAAGCTTTTCGTTAGTGAAAAAAAAATCTAAGTGGCGATGGATTTCTGTAATCGGTATAAACTATTGTCTCCAGGCTCTTGCTATTGTTTGTTTTGCTGCCAGTAGTACATACACTATATTGCCAAAAAGTAGTGGGACACCTGCCTTTACACGCACATCATGAACTTTAGTACTCATGCACACTAGATGTTTTTACAGCTGCTGTTTTTGGCTTTTGTCTGGTTTTTTTTCAACAGCCAGTAAACTTCCCAGCATGTTATCCTATGTGTCCATGCACACACAGGCTTTAAAATCAGCGTTTTATGGCAGGGGGCTTTTTTTTGGCTGGGGAAAAAAAAAAAAAAAAACACACAAAACTAGTGGGTTTCTAGAGGAGTTTTTTTTAGCTGTAAACGCTTCAATGTGGAAATTCGTGGTGAAACACAGCAAACTGGAGTTTTGGTGCTTTTTTTAGCAAAAATTTTATTTCTTGTGTAAAAAATGCTAACAAAAACACAAACGCGTTTAACATGACTTTATACAGCTAGCGCTACTGACGGTTTTAAAATGCCTAGTGTGCATGAGGACTTAATGGCATCCCAGTTTTAATTCATAGTGTTCAATAACAGCTGCAACGCTTCTGAGAAGGCTGTCCAAAAGGTTTAGGAGTGTGTCTATGGGAATGTTTGACCATTCTTCTAGAAGTGCATTTGTGAGGTCAGGCACAGATTTTGGGGCGAGAAGGCCTGGCTCACAGTCTCCGCTCTAATTCATCCCAAAGGTGTTCTATCAGGTTGAAGTCAGGACTCTGTGCAACCCAGTCAAAGTCCTCCCACCCCAAACTCACACATCCATGTCTTTATGGACCTTGTTTTGTGCACAGTCATGTTGGAAGAGGAAGGGCCCATCCCTAAATTGTTCCCAAAAAGTTGGGAGAATGAAATTGTCCAAAATGTCTTGGTATGTCGACGCCTTAAGAGTTCCCTTCACTGGAACTAAGGGGCCTGAAAAACAACCCCACACCATGATCCCCGCTCCACCAAACTTTGCACAATGCAGTCAGGCAAGTACCGTTCTAGCAACAGCCAAACCCACACAGGTCCATCAGATTGCCAGACAGAGAAGCGTGATTTGTCACTCCAGTGAACACGTCTCCACTACTCGAGTCCAGTGGCAGTGTGCTTTACACCACTGCATCCGATGCTTTGCATTGCACTTGGTAATGTAAGGCTTGGATGCAGCTGCTCCACAATGAAAACCCATTCCATGAATCATTCTACATTCTGTTGTGCTAATCTGAAGGCCACACCAAGTTTGGAGGTTTTTAGCTATTGACCCTGCAGGCAGTTGGTGACTTTTGTGCACTGTTCGCTTTAGCATGCACTGACCCCGCTCTATCATTATATACATGGCCTACCAATTTGTGGCTGAGTTACTGTTGTTCCCAGTTGCTTCCACTTTGTTATAATACCACTAACAGTTGACTGTGGAATATTTAGTAGCAAGGAAATTTCACGGATGGACTTATTGCATAGGTGGCAACCTATCATGGTGAATTCACTGAGCTCCTAAGAGGAAATCATTCTTTCACAAAAGTTTGTAGAAGCAGTCTGCATGCCTAGGTGCTTGATTTTGTACACCTGTAGCCGTGGGAGGTGATTGGAACACCTGAATCCAATGATTTGGAGGGGTGTCCCAATACTTTTGGCAATAAAGTGTATGTGGCCAGTTTGGACAGAGATTTGGTGGGGCCCAGCGGTTTCAGGTGTAACAGAACATACCACGGATCTCTCGGGAAGGGGTAAGTTAGTAATGATTGTAAGAGTTTAACCTCCCTAGCAGTCTGATTATGTCCATATTTCTGTGCTCAAAGCAGTACATTTTTTTGCATGGAAATATGTATTTTTTTTTATTGTAGGCCTATAATTTTTTAGGAATAACTCACTGAAATCTGTCCGAACAAGAGTCTAGTAAACATCCCGGGTATGATAAAATTTGAAAACACGAAAATCATAGATTATAAACTTAATAAATAATCATAAAAAATAATAATAAATTTAATTCAATAATATAATCAAACCAAAAACACTGAAATTTGAAATATAGCGCCAAGTTCGCACATCACTGAGCAAAGTCGCAAAATCGTTTTCAGTGCCTGATGACGAATTCCCCACGAATCATTATCACTCAATTTTGCAATTAGTTCTAATTTACTGTCGCTGTTCTCTAGCTGGTCTAAAACCGATTTTGACCTAAAGGGACACTTTTTGGACACCATGGACTTTTCTCAGTTTCCAGGCAGAAAGAACAGTAAAAATGCAGGCAGGGCACAGGACAAAGCACTAGGGACAAAATGTATGTGAAATGGTTTGATACAGTAATGTTTTACTATGTGATTTTAGTGTATTTAGTGAATGTCACTTTTTGTCATTTTCAAATTTCCTGCCGTTCCGTCCCCCATACGTCCCGACGCTGGCAGAGGACGGAACCCAGAAGACAGATGCCGGCATCCGCCGGATTACATTGCCGGGGACACTGCAGGAGGGACATCGCGGGAGCGCAGGACAAGGTAAGTGAAGAACAGATGCCGGAGCAGCGCCGCAGCGTAAGCCCGAGTGTAGCTCGGGGGGTTACCGCTTTTGGTACTGAAACTTTACCCCGAGCTACTCTCGGGAATACCGTCAGGGAGGTTAAGGTCTTTTGTCCAGAACTAGGAAAGCATAGGTCAGGTCCACCATATGTGGAGGACATCTCCCGAAGCAGAACAACCTGAGAAACAGGTGCTAGGAGAGGATGGGCAAAGATGTGCCAAACAAGGCAGGACCAGGTAACACCTCAAATTTGGTCCAAATTTGTGACCAGCTTTCCTTGTTTATGGAGCTTTTGAGGTCCTTTTCCCACCTAGAGATGTAAGCATGCCTGTTTGGGCTTTTGAGGTCATTCAACTGCAAATAAAGAACTAAATGCTCCTCAGTGCCCAGCCCCTCCCACTATCCACCACACCAATAGGAGACTGGGCACTGGGAAGCACACAGCAGGGGGGCCAGGAAAGAGACGGAATGAACAGGTATGATCTGTGCAGTGGTGACAAACAGCGATCTCCTGTATGTCTTTCAATGCAGCACCTGGAAGTCACCTCTTCTCTCCCTCCCGCGGCTTTCAGCTGCTTTACTGAAAGCCATACAGGAGATCGCTGTTTGTCACCGCACCCACCGTCACCCCTCCCAACCACCGCTAGTCCCGGCACTGCTTGCCTCCACCTTTTTTCCACTCGCCCAATGCTAGCGGGCGAGTGGAAATTTTGAGGGCTACATCCAGTATTTTATGTGACCTCCATGATTTGTAAGGACAGCAACAAGTCTTCTAGGCATGGAATGAAAAAAGCGGCGACATATTGCAAAACCTATCTTTCTGTATTCTTCAAGAACAACCTCTTTTAGAGCCTAGAAGATAAATGGAGAGTGATGCCCAACTTGTCTCTCCAGAATTCCCCATAGGCGTTTCATTGGGTTCAGATCAGGAGACATACTTGGCCACTGAATCACATTCACCCTGTTCTTCTTCAGAAATGCAACAGTGGCCTTAGATGTGTGTTCTGGATCATTGTCATGTTGGAAAAGTACTCGACGACCAAGGGCACGGAGTGATGGTAGCATCTTCTCATTCAATATACAGCAACAATCACCCCAGTTTGGTTTTCTACTTCTTTGTCTAACTGCAGCGAACTTGCATGGCAATTTTCTTCAGCCCTTCTCATCAGAAGACTCTCCTGTCAAGGTGTTAAAGCGGAGTTCCGCTCACCCTGTCAAAAAATAAAAGTCAGCAGCTACAAAAACTGTAGCTGACTTTTAAAAAACCACCATTCACCTGTCCCTCGGTCCCGCGGTGTGTCCCCTGCAGCCCGTTTCACCGGCCGTCCTGTATTCCTGGAGGCCGGCATCTTCAATGTGGGCACCCGGCTGTGACTGATACCCACCCACTGCGCATGTGCGAGTAGCGCTGTGCTTCATGAATCGTCCTGTAGTCTTCTGGGACCTGTCACATGTCCCAAAAGACTACAGGGAGAGAGGGAGGATACCTTCTGTTTTCGATCGCCTAGGTGATCGGACCGGAAGTGGGAACGGGTGCCTGTCAAATTCAGGTACCCGCCCCCCAAAGGTGCCAATCCTTAAGAGGGAGTGGGGGAGCAGTCCATAAAGTGGAACTTCCTCTTTTGGGTGGAGCTCCGATTTAACTTCCGTGGACAGCATGGACGTCTCTCTGAGTAGGTTGCAGTTGCATCTTTGTTAAATTTTTGCATCACTTTTACTACAGTATTCTGACTGAAAAGTTAAGCTCTGCTGATCTTCTTGTAGCCTTCACCTTTCTTGTGCAAACAAAATTATTTTCTCTCTCGGGCCTTGTGACATTTCTCTTCCATGTGGTGCCATTGCTGACAGCATGAAATGGGAAGGGATTTTCTTTGTTAAGTAACACCCTTTTATAATCAACTGTCTGCTAGAGACCTGTTTAATGAATAAGTAGTCTCACCTATAGTTGAATTCTTGTTAATTAGGAATTTGTTGTCTAAAATTTAGCTTTGTTTCAAAAGACTTTCATTGGGATGTATTCATTTTTGCAACATGGTGTTCAAGGAATTGATTAGGAAAAATACTTTGTGTGTGCAAATTAACAAATATCTTATTTTCAATCAATGGCCCGCATTTGTGGGAGTATTTTGTAGTATTGTATCCCATAGAAAATGTTGATTCTGAAAGGAAAGTAAAAGGTTTTCTGACAAATCTGTATTTATGCTGAACACTGTATTAGTGTACTGGTCTTTTCAGTAAAAACGTTTATCAAAAAATCAGGTGAAACAGTAATAAATGCCAGAAAAAAATCTACAAACTAAAAAAGGAACAATAAAAGGAAAAAAAAAAAAAAGCAGCACAACATAAGCCTAATGGCATACAAACACATATCTGGAAATACCAGAGAGTTTCACAGATAGGTTGAAGAGTCCTGACACCATAACATTAATGCCAAGCCAGTATTCAGATAAGAAACAGTTCAAAATTAAGTAGGAAGTTTTGTATCGCTCAATCATATTTCCCATCGCTCAAGGAACATGGCAGTGGCATTCTCACTATATGCAAACAGTCGTTCATATGGAATTGGTTGCGGACTTACTGAAATGACTGAGATCTGAGATACTGGGATTGTTGTGAGTTTGTCATATAGCAGTAATAGACAAATGGGCAATCACAGTTCTAGGAGTAGTAGGGTTCTGCTTCAATCAAATACTCAGTAGAGACATCTGAAGGGATATACAGTAGGGGTCAAGATGCCAGTCACTTCAGCAATAAGTGTAGACACCATTCTCTGGAAACTCCTCATCCCCTGCAACCCCACAGTTTGCGCAATAGGTTTCCAACACCTTGACATTCTCTCCAGCAAAGAGGGGAGTGGGTATCATAGTTTAGAGAGCTGACAGGGTGTTAGATACCAGCAATGTAATATTTTAGAACAATTTCCCACAGATTAACACAGTGGTAAGATTTGCTATTAACTAAAATTGCTTCAACGTAAAGCATTTTTGGAGTTCCTTTTCCCATCTCCACATCTCAGGGAACTTATTGAGGGTATGAAGCTCCTGAAACATTCCATTGAAAAAAAGGATATGCCCTTAGATTCCTGCTCGGGGGTATTTAAAAAGCTCCAGATCACGGTTGGGAGCAGAATTGTTTATTGGGAACTACCTCGTGGAAGTTTGATATTCAGAATAATTTATAGGAATCTCCACTCCAAATTGAGACGGTAAGTCTTCCAATGTTTGATAGCCCCTAGCTACCCATTCCTGAACATTAATATCCAGAATCAGATAATCATATGCTTTGAGGGGCAGGCCTAGGTTTAGGTATGCACTCTGCGGAGGCAGCTCGTCTATAAGCGATCTCCAAGCTTCCAAGGAAAATGTATTAGGTGGCCCGGAATTATAACCCTACCAGGTGCTTCAATATTTCTATGGTAGATAGCTTGGCATCCTTATTCAGAATGTACTATTTGCTGACATTAACTTTATAATAGGAAACTTTACCCAACTGTACAATCTGCGACTGCACCTCTTGCAGGGATCTGATAGGGTCTATCAAGTGAATAATATCATCAGCAAATAGTCCAATACAGTGATCCTACGAATCCATGGTTATAGCAGAGATAATGGGATGTGTCCTAATGGCAGCGGCAAAGAACTTGATCAAGGAAAAAAATGAGAGGGGACAAAGGGCACCCTTGACACATGCCTTTAGTAACTGTAAAACTATTAGAAAGCATAGTCAAGGTATATACCTGGGCCGTGGGCTATTTGTAGAGATCCATAATACCTAAAAGGATAAACCCAATTAATCCAAATTTTTGCACCACGAGACAAATAGCCTCAGTGGATTCTAAGGCAAGGAGCAGAGAACACACGCAACAGGCCTCCACATACCTAATCAAGTTTAACTTCCTCCTAGTACCATATGAAGCCTGCTGACCCCGAACAAATCCCACCTGAGCAGGTCCAGTGAGTGATGGCATTACATCAAGTAAGTGGGAAGCTATCATTTCACAATAGTTTTTCATGTCAGAATTGAGG